CAGAACCAACGAACATCGGCCTCAGAACCAACGAACATCGGCCTCAGAACCAACGAACATCGGCCTCAGAACCAACGAACATCGGCCTCAGAACCAACGAACATCGACCACAGAACCAACGAACATCGGCCTCAGAACCAACGAACATCAGCCTCAGAACCAACGAACATCGGCCACAGAACCAGAATCGGTTCTGACCAATCTCAGGTGAAGGATCAGTCATCACCGATGACCAAGTCATCAAAAAAGACCAGGAGTTCTAAAGGCTGATGAACGGGGTTCTACAGGTTCCCAGGAGTTTCAGTTAAACTCGTGGGTCAGAGGTATTGCTGTTTGCGTAGCTGGCAGAGCAGCCATCAGATAGATCAGAACCTTTGAATCTCTCTAATGTCCCCATCGATGGAAACATTTCTCTGGTCAGGTTCTGCTTCTGTCTGGTTAACAGTCAGGAGGTCCAGTACTTAGTCCCCTTTCTTTTATTCAGGATCTATGGTCTGTGCTCTAGAAGCTGTAGCTCTAGAGGCCTCAGCAGGCGGCTGCTTTTCCAGTAAGCCGCTGACTAATTTCCTTTTCTGGTAAGTCTGATGAGTCACATCATGAACTGAAAGTGAATCTTTCAGGAAGTGACCGACTGCTGGCTAAGCCGGGCCTGAGCCGCCGATCGACAGGAAGCGACAGAGCCGACGCCTCGCTGCAGGCCTGCAGCAGGAGCCGCTTCCTGTGTGATAAAACAAATTACTTTGGCTGCAGGGTTAGGAAGGTGGGGGCAGAGGGCCCACCCAGGCCAGCAGGTCCGGACCAGAACAACCAGCTCATTGGTTCAGTACAAATAAAGAACCGAGTCTAAGATTATATTCCTACCGCTCTGTTTTAATAAAGCCAATCATTAAAACTCAAACCCATCACAGCTATTTCTCCATGTTGTGATAAAGGAGAGGCAGCAGAGTTCTCTTCAGATAAACCAAAGGTTTCCTTCATGCAGCAGTGAGCAGCATGCAGAGGTCTTTAGCTGTGAACCATCAACATGTCGACGTTGCTCTTTATCTAGAAAACCACATCCAGTCTGAGCAGGTTCTCACTGAGCTGGAACCAGATCCAGTCTGTTCACACC